AGTTACTTAGCTTCCCTGAGTTTCCTCATTTGTAAAATGGGGATAATCCTAACTGGGAGGATGTTATGAAAAGTAATTGAAAACTGCTTGTGGAGTACTTGGCACATAATAGCTCAATAAATACTAGTTTCTGTGGTTATTACTTCCTGAAAACAAAACCCATTCATCTTTGGAGGAAAAGAGAGCATCTGTCAAAGGTGTCAGAGTGTGGGGCCAGAAAAATCTTTCTTTTGATGATTACTTTCCTCACCTGTTCTGCAACTTTGCTTCTGTGGGAGCTCCTTCCTTCTGGACTCTGGCCAATATTAGCCAAGGCCCGTATTTTTGTTTGTTTGTCAAACTGGTGGTTGCCAGGTGGAGGTGAATGGGGGATGGGTAAAGTAAGTGAAGAGGAAAGATACATAAAAAATTATAAAATAAGTCACAGGGATGAGAAGTACAGCATAGAGAATATATAATATAACCTATGGTGACGTGTGGTGAGCATTGAGTAATATGTAGAGTTGTCGAATCACTATGTTGTACATCTGAAACTAGTATGACACTGTATGTTCATTATTCTTCAATTAAAACGAAAACAAAAAAACCTCATGGTGCATGGGCCAGTTGCTTCTTAAAGCAAGCGACTGTTGATCTCAGGCTTGAGTTGGAGCCCCACCTTGGTACACCCAAATAATCTCTAGAGATTACTTAAAAATAAAGTCTTACCAAAATAATAAATAATAATAAATAAATAAATAAATAAATAAATAAATAAATAAATAAATAAATAAAAACCATTGAAGCCCCAAGTCAGTCTTGGAACTGAAGCAGCTAGTAGAGGCAGAAAGCCACAGGGTGGTGTTGGAGTGCCTGAGAGCCTCGCAGCTGAAGGAAGTCACCCTAGGGCGGGCTGAGAAGTGAGTCAGAAGGCCGGGAGCTGGACGGACAGTCGCCGGCGATGGCAGCCCTGGGGCTCGCGTCTTCGCTACCGCTGCTGCTGCTGGTGATCGCGGGCGCTGGGGGCGCTGGGGGTGCCCGATGGCGCGGGGAGGGCACCACCCGGCACCTGCAGAGCATCATCCTGGGCCGCTGCGCGGAGCACGTCGCCCTGCTGCACCCGGAGCAGGGGTGAGCGTGGCGGGGGGAGCGGGGAGGTCTAGAGGTGAGGAGGGTGAGTGGTGCGGGGAGTGGAGGGTCTTGACCAGAGAGATGTGCGCGGGACTGTGTGAACAGGAGTTCTAAAGGTCCGGGGAGCCAAACCCAGAGGATGGGAAGATGGGAAGTCTGGGGGTGGAGTGTGAGCCTGCGTGCGGGAGGGAGTGCGTAAGCGAAGGAGGCTGTGGGCTGACTGTCTAGAGGCGAGGGGATTAGGTTGAGGTGAGTTTGGGTGACAGCCAGCACATGCTTAGCCAGAACGGTCGGACCCAGGAAGATGGCCTTCAGCTGGAAATTCGTGAATCCAGGGACTTGGGGAATTCAAATTTCAGATCCTCTAACCTAGAGGACTTTATGAGTTTGAGTGTCTCTTGCCAGCACAGTCCTTCCTACTCATATTTTTGTTCCTTCTTTGGATCTACTTTTTCTGTTAATGTCTTTTTCTTGTGCCAGTTTTTTTTTTTTTCTGACTCAGACAAAAAAAAAAAAAAAAAAAAGCAAAGAATAAAATTACCCCTGCCTAACACAAGAAATAAAAAGTTACAAATGCCTTGGGAAATGTTTTTGGAAAGCTGGGATGGACTTGAAGTTAGTGTCACCTAACACAAATCTTTTGGCTTAAGCAAATGGTTTTTATTACTTCCAGCAAGTAAGGAGACAGGGAGATAGTTCTCAAAGCACTGTCTCCCGTAACACAAACTTCAGGCTTGCTTTATGCTCCCAGCCAGCAACATCTGAGGCTGTTATTCCCTACAAATAGGAAGCTGGTCTCAGGAACTTCCTAAAACCTTTGTAATCTTTTGAGAAGGGCATTCAAGGGGTTTGCTTGACTTGGTAATTTCCCAAGAACATCTGCTGCTCTCTTGAGTAACTTTGGGCCTTTCCCAGGAAGGGGGCAGTTCCAAAGGATTGTGAAACTGATAAACAAAATAGGTGCTGGAGAAGGAGACAGCTTATCTGTTCTCACTGTGGTCCCCAACTTTACTTAGTTGGCTTTATCTTCTCACTTCATCCCTAATGCCAGCAGGAGGCGAAACAGCTTTTCTCAACACTCGGTGCTCATTCCTGGTTTTACAAGGTCCAGTCCACCACCTGCCTGACCACACCAGGTCCCAGGGAGCAATGGACCTTAAGTCTGAATAGAGAGGCACCTGAAATTGGAAGCCTCCGTGGTTTATTGGAATTGTCATCCTCCAGCCAAGTGCCTTTTCTGCTCATGTCTGGGAGCCCGGGACAAGACTTTATTCCTTAGCTTTGAAATATGTAATACCTTCTGAGAGCCACTTTCACTGGCAGGATTCTAAATCCATCACCTCGGTTTTCTTCTCCTCTCCTGAATTGGGGTTAAGGCCTCAGCCATGACAATTTGCTGTCTTTTTTGTGCCTAGTTCACAGATGATAAATGGTAAAATTACTCATAAAGCTGTTGGATGGAGTACTTAGAGAGAAATGGCAATACTTCACAACACATCATGATGTTTTGTTTTGTTTTTTCTTTTCTTTTTAACTCGTACTGCTGCACAGGGAAAAGAACTGCACAGCTATCTGGGAAGCCTTTAAAGTGGTGCTGGATAAGGATCCCTGTTCCGTATTCCCCTCAGACTATGACCTTTTTATTAACCTCTCCAGACATTCCATTCCCACAGACAAGGTAAAACATTAATCTCTGTCTCTATAGAGATAGATGGTACATGGACCAGGTGTCTACAACCCTGGGAGACCCTGTTTCAGTATTGCCAAAAAGTCAAGCAGTAAACTCGAACTCTCTGATGAGGAGGTATCTTTATCTTGAGGGTCAATCCTGGGGCTGCTGCCTGTCTAGGCAGAAGGAAGTCTCCTAAGTCAACAAGTCTGCAGGAATCACTACTTTAGGACCTTGCCACACCTTTTGCTGGGGCTCTGCCCTTAGCCAATTCTGAATAATTTGTGTCCTAACTGGCCCCAACGGCCGAACTTTTGAGTGACTCAGAAGACCCTGAATTAACCTCACTATCTTCCCAGAAGTCCAGTCCCTCCTTTTAAGAGACCTTAAGATTCTATCTACTCAGTACCAGTTTCTTTCTTTTCTCTCTTTTTTTTTTTTAGATTTTATTTATTTGTTCATGAGAGACCCAGAGAGGCAGAGACACAGGCAGAAGGAGAAGCAGGCTTGCTGTGGGGAGCCTGATGTGGGACTCGATCTGGGAACTCTGGGATCACAACCTGAGCCAAAGGCAGATGTTCAACTACTGAGCCACCCAGGCTCCCGTAGTACCCGTTTCTTTAAGAAAACCACATGTTGGGGACACCTGGATGGCTCAGTGGTTGAGTGTCTTCCTTTAGCTCAGATTGTGATTCCAGGGTCCTGGGATCCAGTCCCACATCAGGCTCCCTACAGGGAGCCTGCTTCTCCCTCTGCCTCTGTCTCTGCCTCTCTCATGAATAAATAAATAAAAAATCTTGAAAAAACAAACAAACATATGTCTGTGTTCTGAGTTCTAATTAAATGAAAATAAATGAGAAAATCTACATAAAATGCTTGCATAGAATAATACCTTGAGTTAAAAAAATACATAGCTTTTGTTTTCTGTTTCTTTGATGACATAATTCTCAACCTGATTTTTCATTGTAAAAGCAGGTAACATTGATGTTTATGAATGAACAAATCTTAACAGCATTTTAAAATTTTTGTAAATGGAGCTGGAAGGTTCAGAGATATAATAGGTTAAAAATAATGATTTTTAAGAATATGTTGCATTTTGAACTTTATTGCCTCCCTGCCAGTAAAAACAGGAACCTTAAATTGTGTTCTCTTCTTTAGTAGATTTATTTTTTAAGATTTTATTTATTTATTTGACAGAAAGAGAGAACACAAGCAGGAGGAGAGGAGTGGTAGGCAGAGGGAGAGGGAGAAGCAGGTTCCCTGCTGAGCAAGGATCCAGTACTCTGGGATCATGACCTGAGCCAAAGACACACTTAACTTACTGAGCTACCCGGGTGCCCCTCTTCTTTCACAGATTTTGGTGTAAGTTGTTGAACTCAATAAATAGTTATTGAGCTCCTTTCATGTATTGGGCCTTGTGCTAAGGTTTGAGGGTGCTTGCAACAGGGAACAAAATAACCCCTGCCCTCAGGCATAGAACAGTTGGACTACTAAGGGTTTGATGAGATCATTAGAGGGATATTGTTATTTGTATTACCATTGTGGGAAGACACTGTAGCTTTATAGCAGAAACTGTAAAATACAATATAAAAGTAGCATATTTCTAAAGTGCTTTTTGTGGTGACATGTCATCCTGAACACAGCTGTGGAAGAAGAGAAAGGGCTTTGCTCCCCATTTTCCAGATGTGGAAGGAAACTCAGGCACAGGGCTACAACATGTCTTGTTCAAGGTCTCACATGTAGTGTATGACGGAGTTAGGATTCAAACCCAGGTCCTTTGGTCTTTTTTTAAAGTCAGGGATAAATATATATATTTATTACTGAGAAAGTACTTTATTAATGTGTGCATGATGTGGTCGCAAGGGTGGGAGAGATCATGGCACTCTGAATGGGTAAACAAAGAGAAAGAAAAAGAAAGTGCAGTTGTCAGGCAAGGTGGAGTCGAATAAGAAATGGACTGCCTGGGGACACCTGGGTGATTCAGGGTGTGAGGGTCTACCTTTAGCTCAGGGCTCAGGACGTGTTCCCAGGGTCCTGGGATCGAGTCCTACGTCAGGCTCCCCATAGGGAGCCTCCTTCTCCCTCTGCCTCCGTCTCTGTGTCTCTCATGAATAAATAAATAAAACCTTTGAAAAAAAAAAAAAGAAATGCACTGCCTGACTGAAAAAAAGATCTACTTTGATTTCATTTTCATGTTAATTTTGTGTTTGTTTTTCCTTAGTCCTTGTTCTGGGAAAACAACCACCTTCTTGTCACTAGTTATGCAGAGAATGCCCGTCGCTTTGTGCCTGTGTGCAGTGTTCTCTACGGCAGGATGGGTGACTTTCTGAGCTGGTGTCGACAGGAAAATGCCTCTGGTAAGACTCCAGACAAATCAGAAGCAAAGTCCAAACTTCTGGTTAAGCATTTCTGCTAAATGCTTTCTATGCATTTGTCTCATTTGATTTCCTCCAAATCTTCTGAGGTAGGCAGTAATAATGATTAATAATAACAATAACAGAGAGAAAGCACTTATCTTTTGCTGGGTACTCTCTCAGCACCTGACATATATTTGCTAATTTAATCGCTGCCACAGCCCCAAGAGATAGATCCTCTCCTAATCCCTGTTGTGATAAATAAGGAAACTGAGGCACAGCAAGGTTAGGAAACTTACTGAGGAATGAACAGCTAGGAAGCAGCAGTAGATTGGCTCCAGAGCACATGCTCCCATCCCTGCCCAAGCAAGTCTCAGGACTCTCATTTACCAGAAGGGGACACTGAAGTTTAAATGTTATAAAATTTCTGTTTTCTGGCTAAGGACTATCACTTTCTTGGTGTATTTTTGTTGGATTTACTTCCAAAACCAGGGCTAACTGGAGAAGGTGCTTCATCCAACAGAGCAAAAAAAAAATTTTTTTGTTTGTTTGTTTTTAAATCACTTCACTAGATCGTCAGTAAAGAAATAGCCAAGCTAAGATGCTGATGCTTGGTAGTCTGCAGTCTCACTCATTACCCAGCTGCTTGGGTCTGTGCCTTCCTCACATCTGTGCTGAGCAAAATGACACCTGTCTTCTTATCACAGATTGGGTTCTTTGTGGATTGGGTCAGCAGAACTGTGAATGTCAAACTTGTAAACACAGGCCTAATAGATTTTATAATGCCAGCAAATATTTTAAATTAATTCTTCTCTGATAAAATCTTTTTAAAGATTTAATTTATTTATTTGTTTGTTTGTTTATTTATTTATTTATTTATTTATTTATTTATTTATTTGAGTGAGTGAGTGAGCACGAGAGAGAGCATGAGCAGAGGGAGGGGCAGAAGCAGACTCCCAGCTGAGCAGGGAGCCCAACGCAGAGCTCAGTCCCAGGACCCTGAGATCATGACCTGAGCTCAAGGCAGATGCTTAACCAACTGAGCCACCCAGGTGCCCCTCTGATATAATGTTTGATATGAAACATGTTTATCTATTTTTCCCTTAGGACTCGATTACCAGTCCTGCCCTACATCAGAAGATTGTGAAAACAACCCTGTGGATTCTTTCTGGAAAAGGGCATCTATGCAGGTTAGCTTGGGAAGGATGGCTGGGGGACTGAGCAAATAAATGTGGGACCCTTGAACATGGGACAGAGGGGTTCAGAGACTGGGCCATCAGGTCATTATTTCACTTCTCCAAGCCTCTCTTTCCGTCCACGTTCACCACATTTTGATTCACTCCATCTGCTCCATAAAGGTGTGAGGGCTTAAGGAGCTTGAATACTTAGTGCAACACCCAGCAGAGCCAACACAGTGAGTGTTGGTATAGATGAGGGCATGGTGACTACTGGTACTATCATGTTGTGGCTGCTCTTAGTATTTTCAATCAATGTGAGTTTGACTGTTATGTAAATGGGGTGGCCCCTGTTTTATGTGAGGCCCTGGGATACCTGAGATCCAGATGTAGGGGTCAGAAATGTCCTCAGGACTGCTATTCATGAGAGGAGGTGATAGGAGGTGATAGGTAACAGGTGAGTGGAGGATAACCTGGAGACACAGAAATGGCCCATTACTGAAGGTCTATTCCCCAGAGCATCCTGCCACCAGAGATGATGATAGCCTATTAAATGTTAGCTCTGTTGACTAGAAGGCCAGTGGATCTCGGGGTCCTGCCACCCACCACTAGCATCTCCCTTTCAGGGCTGTCCATGTCCCTTTTTGTCCTATTCTGGATCTCTTGGGGTCCACTGAGTCCATTGTTCATCAGAGTGAGGTGACTTTGGTGAAATCCTTCTCCACGCTGTGGTTTAGAACAGGGCAGGGGGCAGGTTCCAGGCAAAAGGCACACTGTTCATTCCTGTGCTCTTCTGCTCCAGTGAGAGCACCCTGTTTGTGCTCACTACTCCTAGACTCCATTTCCAGTGCACACTCCTCAGTGAGCACTGGACTGCCAGAGCTCCTCATGGAGGCTACAGGGGCATCATCAGCTGATTGTGGGATCATAATAGCAATTCAGGGGCAATGTCAATATTCTCATAAAATAACCATATATCTTCTCAGCTGATCTGCCTGACTTCAAAGTGTGTGCTCCAGGGATGCCTGGGTGGCTCAGTGGTTGAGCATCTGCCTTTGGCTGAGGTCATGATCCCAGGGTCCTGGGGTCAAGTTCCACACCGGGCTCCCTGCATGGAGCCTGCTTCTCCCTCTGCCTGTGTCTCTGCCTCTCTCTGCGTGTCACTCATTAATAAACAAATAAAATATTTAAAAAGAAAAACAAAGTGTGAGCTCCAAAGCACCATTCTAGACTTTCTCCAACTTTAGAATGGGAATCTAAGAATCATGCTCACATCTTATGAGCCCTTAGAATGTGCTGGATTGTCTATGTACAAGGAGTACAGGTAGTTTAGTGATGAGAAGAGGGTCTGAACTGTAGCAGAGAAGTATTCAAAACATGTTAATAATTCTTATTTTTATTGTATTTTTATTTATTTTTTTAAGATTTTTAAAAATTTACTTATTTTAGAGAGCATACACATGAGTAGGGGGGCACAGAGGGAGAGAATATCAAGCAGACTCTGTATTGAGCTCAGAGCCTGGCACAGGGTTCCATCTCACAACCCTGAGATCATGACCTGAGCTGAAACCAAGAGTCAGATGCTTGGGCCACCCAGGTGTTCCAATAATTATTATTTTAAATGTTTTAATCTTTACAACAATCCTATGAGGTTAGGGACCCTTATGACCCCTATTTTATAGATAGGAAAAATGAGGCATAAAGAGATCAAGAAACTTAAGCAGACTTATTTTATTTATTTATTTATTTATTTATTTATTTATTTATTTATTTATTTATCTCTTTATTTATTTATTATCTTTCTATTCAGCTTATTTTTTTTATTTTGTTTATTTATTCATGTGAGACACAGAGAGAGACATGGAGGGAGAAGCAGGCTCCTCGCAGGGAGCTCGATGTGGGACTCCATCCCCGGACCTAGGATCATGCCCTGAGCCAAAGGCAGATGCTCAACTGCTGAGCCACCCAGTTGTCCCTCTATTCAGTTTATCAAGCAGGCTTATTCCAGAGCTAATAAGTGGAGAAGCCAGAGAGCAAATTTTCAACCACTACATCATATAGCCTTATTGTATCTCTGTATGCATTTTTTTCTTATCAATGTAATAGCTGCTCAGGATAGAAAAAGGAAAGATAATAGAAAATACAGATAAGAGAATTAATTATGTATATACTTATTGCCTAAAGGCAACCCTGTCAGCATTATGGTTTTCAGACTTGGCATTTGTGGATTTGACCATGACCACTAGCACTCACTATTTGGAAGCACCCAGAGTTATGAATGTCTATTGTTGAGGTGTGTGACATGAGGTGTATTGTTGCTCCGCTGCTGCTGGTATTGGGCATCACTTTGCTAGATAGTTAAGTTCAGTCATGGCTATCTTGGTGTTACCTGCCTTCCCAGCCCCCCACCTCTCTCCAGTATAAACATTTTATTAGGGAAATTGTATGTTCCGGTAGTATTTTGAAGTGGAGATTTGGTAACTTCTCTGTACGTATCTCTTCCTTGAGAATTTTGAGGGGAGTTGACTCACTTTTGCCCATTTATTTTTGGCATAGGAGAGCTCACGCTCTGTCTTCTTAATATTGCTTTTTGCTTTACATGTAAGTACTTCCTATGCTTTTGCAAGTCTTTTGCAGACTTTTAGTAACGGCTAGCTGATATTTCAGATACTTAAGTACTATGGGTTATTTGTCATTCCTTTGTTGTTGACTATTTTAGATTGCTTACAAACAATGGTGCAGTACACACCTTTGTGCACAATGCTTGTGATGATCCTTAGAACTGTTTACAAAATATGTCTGGCTCAGCTTATACATGGTTTGTATTCCCCTGCCTGTTGAACTTACTTGTTTGTGACTTGCACTGACCAATGAGATGTGAAAGGGAGTGTGTGTGATTTCCAGGTGGAAATGCTTAAAAATTGGTCTATGATTTGCCACTGTCCCCTTCTCCCTTCCTTGACAATCAGTGACTTTGTAGATATGGACTCTTCATCAGTTTAGGTCCTAGAGCAAGGACATGTGGAGCAAAACCCCAGTAGACTTGTGATAAAGAAGTAGGGTGAGCATGACATAAATCTTTGTTGTTTAAAGCCATTGTGATTTTGAGGTTGTTTGTGACAGCAGCATACTTTAGTCAATTCCAGCTGATATAGTGCTGGGAACTGATCATTTCTTTTTTCTCTCTCTCTTTTTTTTAAGATTTTAAGTCCAGTGTGGGACTTGATCCCAGGACTCTGGGATCATGACCTGAGTCAAAGGCAGACGCTCAACCACTGAGACACCCAGGTGCCCTGGGAACTGATAATTTCATGTGGTTTTCCTAGAGGGGATTCCCAGCCATGTAATCACAGAGTCTATGACTTTTTGACATTTCAAAGCAATTTGCTTTCCAACATATGCCAGTTGCATCCCTATCAGCTGTATGAAATATCAAATTTAGTATATCTTTGCTAATATTGAGGATTGTCAATTTAAAATAATTGCTCATTTCATGGCTAAAAAATGATGCGTTAATTTATTCATAATACTTGTTTCTTCTTACAGTATTCAAGGGATAGTTCTGGGGTCATCTATGTCATGCTGAATGGTTCAGAGCCAACAGGAGCCTATCCTGTTAAAGGGTAAGAACACCAACATCAACAAATACAACAAAGAATGTCAAAATGTTTATTTTGTTTTTTCAAATAAAAGCTTAAGAAAACTGTCTTAATCACCAGCATAATGCTTGCTTTTGTAAATTTAGGTAAAACAGAACAATTGAATGACCTGGAAGTCAGAGCCATGTCTATATATTTCTGCCACTAGTAGCAGATGAATGCATGAATGAAATAAATAACCTAAAATTTTATAGCTAAAAATACCCCCACAGAACACCCTGAAAGCTTTCCAACAAAAGTAATGTGTAAATCAACTAACAATGAAATGGGAAAAGTATCCTATTGCTTTAGGAGTTTAAGAAATGTCAGATAGCCTGGGTGACTCAGTCAGTTAAGCATCCCTGACTCTCGATTTTAGCTCAGGTCATGATATCAGGGTCATGAGATGGAGTCTGGCATCTGGCTCTGCATTCTGCAGAGTCCGCTTGAGATTCTCTCTCTCCCTCCCCCTCCTTGTATTCTCTCTCTCTCTCTCTTTCTCTAAATAAGTATCTTTTTAAAAGATGTCTTTCCTGTTTCTCAGTTTTTTTGCAGATTTTGAAATTCCCTACTTCCAAAAGGATAAAATCACACGAATTGAGATCTGGGTTATGCATGAAATCGGAAGACCAAAAGTGTAAGTCAAGGTGTTATGATGATGGCAATTGTGCAGGCATGCTTCTCTTGAATATGATACAGTCAAGTCCATTTTACATTTTCATTTTTTTGGGAAACAATTGTGTTCTCTAGTTGGTAATGGGTAAAGAAAGACAAGGTTTTGACTTTTTGGAAATGCCCCAAATCAGTCCTGTGCCCAGAGAGAAGACCTCCTTTATTCAGTTACTATTCTCAACCAAGGAAAATGGGTGTTCCTTTCTGATCTACCTGGGCAGTGCTGGATAGGAGAGTTTGTTTTGCATTCCTTTGGGTCAAAGCCAGTTTCTCCTCCTGATTTTTTGAAAGCTCCCACCAGGAATTCTCAGAATTGACCCAAGGACTATGTAAAGATTTTACTCTTAGAGAACAACCATTTCCACAACTGGACCTCTGATAACTGGCCAAGGAAACCGTGAGGTCCATATTTTCTGGAAAACCACTTGAGTTTTTATAAAGGTAAGCCTGAAGTCATTCTTCTCATCAGTGAGGAGCATTGCTGGAAAAACTGAGGTTAAGAAATGTAAGCCCAGATGATTCAGAGAAAAGCCAAGGAGGCCAAGCCTGGTTTAAGCTGTGCAGCATGATGGAGTTTCAGAGGCCAGAGCATTGTTGTTCAGAGCATTGATGAAAAGCATTTCCAACCCCAATGAGTATCCTCTGGGAGAATCTTTTTTTTTTTTTTTTATAAATTAATTTTTATTGGTGTTCAATTTACCAACATACAGAATAACACCCAGTGCTCATTCCGTCAAGTGTCCCCCTTAGTGCCCGTCACCCATTCACCCCCACCCCCCGCCCTCCTCCCCTTCCACCACCCCTAGTTCATTTCCCAGAGTTAGAAGTCTTTATGTTCTGTCTCCCTTTCTGATAGTTCCCACACATTTCTTCTCCTCTGGGAGAATCTTAGCAACTTCCCCATTTCAGGCCCCTAGAACCCTCTAAAACTCACGATATAATGAGTAGTTATTTTTTCCTGTCTCTTAGACAGGAGATTAAATTTGCAAATGACTTACTACATAGTAATACCAGGATCTGCATTCTCTTCCCAGAAGACAAATTATTTTTTATGTTGCATAAAAAACAGTGCATGTTATTTTTCTTATTTCTGTGGGAAGTTGCTCTTTGTCTAGAAATTATGCTTCCTTATTGTTTTAACGTTTCTATCAGAGAAAGCTTGCCCTTTGAACCTATGTTTAGTGAGATAAGGAAATTGCAATTCAACATTATTTTGGACCAACATCTCTGCTACAGGCGAGATTATAAAAGGGTCCAGAGCACGTGATTGGCCATTGTATGTTTGTGCCACAGAGTGGAGTTATGGGTTATGAGCTAAGGAAGTGAGGGTCCTGAACTGCTTAGATTTTAGCGGAAAAAAACAACAACAAAAACCAACTTGTGGACAAAGAGCTAAAAACAATATGGCTGATACCTGCTACTTGCTTATGGTTAGCATTGTTTTAGCTGTCATTATTCGAAATAAATAGTAAAATAATCCGTTGACCTCTATGTCCAGGTGTCTTGAAACCTCCACGTCATTGCTTTCTAAAAAATTCTCAGTAGTGAGCTTGTCCTGGAGAAGGACTTCATCCCAGATTTTGGTTATGTTCTCAAACATGATGTACACTCAACACCTTGCCCTCATCATTCCTGTAATACCTAGAATTCCACTTCTTTTGTGAAAATCCTCCAAACATTCATCTCAACTCTCTGTATACTCCCTCTCTATTAGTGTTATAGTGGGGAGGGTGTTTTCCTTTCATTCCAGGTAAACTGAGGGAGGGCCTTGCTTGTGCTATGAATGCCATGCCTACTAGCCACAGCTGGGAGTATCATATCTGTGCTATTTGCCCATGCTCAATTATGGCCACCAGGAGGGCAGGACTGTCAGTGAATGAGAATGTGGGGAAATGAACACTCACACTCTGCTCTCATAGGGTAGGCAGCATAGGGTGCAATTTGGCACTGCCTATGTTTGGAAAAGAAACAACAAGCCCGGGATCCCTGGGTGGCGCAGCGGTTTGGCGCCTGCCTTTGGCCCAGGGCGCGATCCTGGAGACCCGGGATCGAATCCCACGTCGGGCTCCCGGTGCATGGAGCCTGCTTCTCCCTCTGCCTGTGTCTCTGCCCTCTCTCTCTCTCTGTGTGACTATCACAAATAAATAAAAATTAAAAAAAAAAAAGAAACAACAAGCCCAATTAATGTGACCTCGTGTATCAACTGTATTTAAATAACAACAACAAAATAACAATAGGCCCCAAATGGAGTCATTCATCCCCACAATAGCAAACCAAGTTTCAACCTCTCCCAAAAATGTGACCTTTACCCAGTCAATCTAAAATATTCTGATCAGCAGCAGTGAGGTTGTCTACATACTGCGTCCTAGCCTTTTCCTTCTGGGCTGCCCCCAAGAGAAGATAACCTCACCTGAAACAATCCTTTCTTTTCTTTTACTAATAACTTCCTTGTCACACCCTCCTGACTGCACAAAACCTTCCATTTCCAAAGGACTCCTCTGAGTGCTTGTCTGTTTACTAGAAGGGATGCGCTCTATTCCTGATTCATTGAATAAAGCTAATTAGATTTTCAAATTTATTTAGTTGAACTTTTGTGTTTTAACACTATCAAGGAGCCTTAAATTGCTTTCAAAACCTTGGTGCCAGAAAACCTACTTCCAGGAATTTATGCTAAGGAAGCAAATAATTATGGATGTTTTGAAAGTGAAACTATAACAAGGTTAGTTTTAGTGTGACATCAAAATATAGGACTCAGGATGCCTGGGTGGCTCAGCGGTTGAGCATCTGCCTTCGGCTCAGGTCATGATCCCGTGGTCCCAGGATCGAGTCTCACGTTGGGCTCCCTGCATGGTGCCTGCTTCTCCCTTTGCCTCTGTCTCTGCCTCTCATGAATTAATAAATAAATTCTTAAAAAAATATATATAGGACTCAACCTTAATCCTCAACAAGAGGGGACTGGTTTTATGAATCATGTTCTGATTATGTAAGGGAGACCATGCAGGAATTAAAAATAATGGCAGAGAACTACACACACACACACACGGGCCAAAGCAGAATACAAAATGCACTGGACAGCAGAAGTCTATTGTTATATTTCCAAAGTCTTGTGGGAATGAATGTATTTCAAAAGTTTAGAGCAATATACATCAAAATGTTAGCAGTTAGCTCTACTGTTGTGTGAATTTGGGGTGATTTTTCTCCTTGTGTTTATTTGCATTTTTTGATAATTTTTGATTTGTATGTTCTTGTTTTCACTTAAAGCCTAACCTCATACTGCCAGTAGGCAGCACAGTGCTGCCCTGGGGCGTTCCTGAGCTGTGTTCATGGGTTGTGATGCACCTTGTGGCGCACTGTGCATGCGCCAACTTGGGACCTCCCAGTGCGCTGCATCCGTAAACTTTGGTCCTCAGCACCCCGCCTCCTGGGATGCCAGGGGTTCCCCCACAAGAGGCAGTTTTCAGGTCACTTTCCCGTGTTTCCTCAGAGAGGAAAATAACTGGGGAGGCCCATGGTCATAGGAAATTTTATTTTATTTTTTTTTAATTTTTTATTTATTTATTTATGATAGTCACACACACACAGAGAGAGAGAGAGAGAGAGAGGCAGAGGCACAGGCAGAGGGAGAAGCAGGCTCCATGCACCGGGAGCCCGACGTGGGATTCGATCCCGGGTCTCCAGGATCGCGCCCTGGGCCAAAGGCAGGAACTAAACCGCTGCGCCACCCAGGGATCCCGGAAATTTTAATTTGTCTAGAAACAGCTTCCTTTTTTCTCCTTGAATTTTACTTATATTATATGTTTTTCTATTTTAGGGAATCCTGTGGAGAAGGCAGTGTGAAAATCCTGGAAGAGAGACTGAAGGAAATGGGTTTTCAGTACAGCTGTATTAATGATCACCTGTAAGTGGTATATCATAATCAGTGTGCAATTTCAAAGGCGGAGCAGTGATTTTGGAGGGCAAGGGGCTGTTGAATGGGATCAGCTCTGAGGACCATGGGACTGTGTGGTCTGGGCTGTCAGTGGGTGTGAGGGCTGGGAGTCCCTTCTGGCCAGGGCTCTGCCTGGGTCCCACCCACTTTTGTCCAGAGGCCTTTGTAAAGATGCTTCAAGGACAAATAGAAACCTCCTTTCATGCATGCATGTCCTGTTTCCCCACCCTTGCTTATGGCAGGTGAGTAACCTAAGAAGAAGCACTGGGGTCCCCGCATCTTTGGATGCCATGAATCCTTGCCCAAGATAGGTGCTTACGGTGGGTTTGCTTGAGGTTTTTACAGAGAGAGGCATCTTACTAGTAGACCAGTAGGAAAATAATAACAGCTACCCTTGATCGAGCTCTTTATGGACTAAGCACATTATGTACTTATAATCAGGTGTTGCCTGAGGGCTTTCCTGGTTCTTGGAAATTTAAGATTTTATTTATTTATTTTGAAGAGAGAGGAAGAAAGAGCAAGCACAAGTGGGAAGGGGCAGAAGGGGAGGGGAGGGAGAATCTCAAGCAGACTCCACGCTGAGCAGCTTCTTTGCTGAAGCCTGGGCACCAGTCATCACCCGTGGGCTTCAGGTTCAACCTTCAGGCCAAAGACCTCATCAGGAGGATCTTCCAAGGGCCGCCCGGGTGGCTCAGTGGCTTAGCCCCTGCCTTCAGCCCAGGGTGTGATCCTGGAGACTTGGGGTCGAGTCCCACAGGCTTCCTGCATGGAGCCTGCTTCTCCCTCTGCCTGTGTCTCTGCCACTCTTTCTCTCTGTGTCTCTTATGAATAAATAAATAAAATATTTTTAAAAAAAGGAGGATCTTCCAAGAGAGATTTTACATCCTTACAGAAGTGGTTCCATGCTTGGGCTCTGGTGTGAGCTTCAAGGTTCAAGTTCATCTCCACAACTGCTACTGTGTATACTTGGGCAAGTTACTCTGATCAGCTTTCTCAGCTGTAAATTGGGAATGGTAATACCTGCTTCATTTGGTTGTCGTGAGGATTCAATGACATAGTCTGCGTAAAATCCATAATCAGGTTTCTTGGTACGTAGTAAGTACTCAGTCAATGCTGGCTAATATTTTTAGGAAGAAATGGTTTGTGTGTTCTTCAAGGTATGCCTTCATACTTTGTATCCCTAGTACTTGGCAGGCCCACCACAAATGTATAATGAATGAAAGTCACTTAAATAATCCCTTAGCTATTTCTTTTCATTCTGCAGACCGGTGAAGCTCTTGAAGTGTGTAGATCACAGCACTCATCCTGACTGTGCCTTGAAATCGTAAGTAGATGTCTGACCCAACCTCCTTGCTTCCTCCAGATAACTAGGCCTTTCCTTCTACAGAACACGGGTGAACTGCAGCATGACTTCACACCCATGCCCTATAATAACCTGGCTGCAGAGTAAGTTTTGTGCTTCTGCACTGCACTTTGCAGTCTCTCTGAGCCATTGGATCAGTGCAGGTTTAAGTGAACACGTGCCCAAGTGAGCTGAACTCCTGCCATGTTGGCAGAGCAGAGCCTGCCTTGATGCAGCAGTTACAGATTGTGGGTGCTCCCTCATGTCCATAGGATCCATTCTGTCATCTACAAGAGGAAGAGTATTAATCAGGGCTGCATGCCAGACACTGTGTTGTGTGCATTACATAGAATATTTTGTTCATTTTTATAACTAGCCATTGGAAAGAGAGAGACAGATGCAGAGAGAAAAGGAAGAAATATACAGTCACCTACTGGGACCAGCCCGGCCATCACCTACCTGGATTACTGAGTAGACCCTAATGAGTCTCCATGCTTCCACTTTGTCCCATCCCTCATGGCTTCTTTTAAACCCAGCTGCTAGGGTTGGCCTTTTATTTTATTTTTTAAAATACTTTATTTATTCATGAGAGACAGAGAGAGAGGCAGAGACATAGGTAGAGGGAAAAACAGACTCCCTATAGGGAGCCTGATGCAAGACCCGATCCTAAGACCTCGTGATCATGACCTGAGTCAAAGGGAAATGCTCAACCACTGAACAACCCAGGTGCCCCTAGCCTTTATTTTAATTTTTTATTAGGGAAACTTCCAAACATACACATAGAGTGTAGTTCTTTAACAATTTAGTCATGTGATTCATCTGCTCACAACTCTGCAGTTGTTCCTTCGCTGAGTCAGAGCAGAGCATCTTGCCCTGGCCCATTTCACTCAGACTTCTTTCCTGCTCCCTTCTGCTTTCTGCCCCTCAGCCACAGTGGTGTCCTGGAACATGCCAGGCACATTCTTGCCCCAGGGCCTTTGCCTACACTGTCCATTCTGCCTGGAAATCCTTCCCCTCTCTGTCCATGTGGCTCTCTCACCTACTTTATTAGCTCCTATCTTGCCTCCATGAAGTTATGTTGACCCTGGTACTTGAAATTACAGCCTGCACCATAGATTGTTCTGTGAAACCCTTTATGATACTCTATTTTTCTTTCTATAGTGTTTATCATCTTCTGACATACCTGCTCATTAAGTTTATTCTTTACTGCCTGTCTCCCACATGTTAGAACATGTTAGAACGTAAGCCCCAGAAGGAACAGGGACTTTTACCTGTTTTGTTCACTGATGGATATGCACATAGCCTGTAACCAGGTAGGCACTTAGAAATGAATGAGTGAATGAACAAATGATTGGTTTCAACTCTGAGGAGGCATGGATTTGAGACAAAGAATGTCTCAATTCAGCCAGGCAGTTGAAAGGAATAACAAATGTCCTATAAGACTTGGAGACACATCTGGTTAGTATTGTATATATAAGTTCCAGATTTTGATTGCAAGAAACAGAAACTAATAGCTCACTTAGGTGGAGAGAAGAGGAAAAAGGTTGTTGGAGGGATTTAATAGGATAGGCAATCCAGTGAGCTGAGGACTTCTTCAAAAGGCCTGGGGAGGTAGATATCCTTAGTGTTACAGTCTTTTTTTTTTTTTTTTTTTTTTGTAACTTAGGTCTTTATGGTTTTATTCCTTGTCTCCTTAAGTAGACTGTCAGCTTTCTACAGATACAGATCATGCAAAGTTTCTTTTTGTGAAACCATGGCACCCTACACGGCCATTGCTGAAACAGGCAGGTGGTGCCACCCTGGCAAACTGTGCTTCAGTTTACCTCCTCTAGTGCAGAACGTGTCAGGTGAATGAGGGTGGCTCTCCCTACCTGTCCTCAGGAATTTCTGAGGACTTTGGACATGTCGGGCTTCCAGGCTGGCAGTCTGGAGTCATCTTGTTTCCTTCCAACCACATTCCTGGAAGGTGTGCAATGTGATCCCATGGGTTAAGTGATCTCTTAAAGTCATTCAGGACTGGCTAGAGCCAGAAATATAGCCCAAGTCTGTATGTCAAGTCCTTGTTTTTCCCACCAAACCACATTGCCTCAAGATGTCACTGTGGTTCATACCACAGCAGATAAGGAAGGGATTTAAAGTACCCAATCTGATCTTTACTTTGGGCATTCTTCTAGCAATTGTTGAGTAGATTTATTCATGACAGTTCTTTCCCAATTCCATTGAATGTCAAGAATAAAACCCTCTTTCACTCTGCCAGATTTTCTTCCACTTTCTTTATCCTAGAAGGAATTTTACTTATCTTTCTCTCTCTTTCTTTTCTTTTAATTTACTTAAAAATTTTTTTTAAAAATTCCATTAGCCAACATATAGTACATTATTAGTTTCAGATGTAGTGATAAGTAATTCATCAATCACATGTAACACCCAGTGCTCATCATATCACATGCCCTCCTTAATGCCCATAACCCTGATCTCTTTTTTAAACAACTTAACTAAGAATATTGATGCATGATTTGCAGATGATCCCCCAAATGGCAAATATGGAGAATTATTTCATCTTTCTTATATAATGAGATGCAAATTTAATGAGGTACAATTTTCACCTCAACATCTTGGACGTACCTTAGCCAAAAATAGTGAAAAAAATATTTTAAGAGTGTTGTTTAATGCTTGATGCCATTGTAAATTTGTAAATTGCTTTGGGAGAACAATTTGACAATATATATCAGGAATTTTAAAAATATTCATGATCTTTGACCTAAAGTCAGACCTTAGGGTACTTCTGATACTCTCTTTTGTTGTTCTTGTTGTTTTCTAGGATTTTATTTATTTATTTGACAGAGAGAGTGCACAAGCAGGGGGAGCAGGAGAGGGAGAAGCAGGCTCCCCACTGAGCTGGGAGCTGGATTTGGGGCTAGATCCCAGGACCCCAGATCATGACCCAAGCCAAAGGCAGATACTTAACTGACTGAGCCACCCAGGTGCCCTTGGTACCCTCTTCTAAAGAAACGATTCAGAATGTGGGCACAACCTATATGCTCAAAGATGTTCACAAAAGCATTGTTTATAATACTGAATCCAAAGTTCAAGCATTGGAAGCTGGACCTAAATATCCAATGAGAAATGAGTGGTTACATCAAAGGATTACATTTACTGGATGGAATAGAATGTAAATATTGTATGTAGATTATATCTCCATAAAACTGAGTTGGGAAGAACAGTGGTGGGATAATCATGCAGCAATATGGAGAAATTCTCATGAACAATTAAAGTGAAAACATATGTAGGAAACAACCTTAAAGGCTAATAGGCTCTAGTTTTGGCCAAAAATTCAGTACAAGGGTAATCTATGGGATTGGTGATGATATGAGAAAAATAGATGTACTTATGTTATTGAAATAGGACTCACTGTGTCAGTCAGGGTCAAGGAGAAACATCAAATCTCTCATCTTGGCCCAAATTCTCTGTCCAAAATGAGTTGTCCCTCCTCTCCCAATACACCTCAGGACACAGAAGTGGGCATCCGAAGCTCAGCTTGTTTAGGAATAGTGGAGTAAAATACTTTTAATCTGCAAAAGTTTAGAATGGAAAACAACTGCTTATATAAATTCAACTCATGTTATTAATAGTTCAAGTGGTAAATTTAGGAATGACTTGCATTTTTTGGTATTTATTTTAGTTGCAACATTTTATAGGATTGAGCATATAAAATTAGCTATTGGAATAGCCATTAACTGTTTCAGACTTGGATTTTTAGTTGAAAGTTATGAGATTTTACTAAGTTTTTAGCCAGAAATGTAATGTTTAAGACAATTAAGATGAAATCTTGTCCACTTAATGGATTTACTAGAATCAAGTATTTGAGATATTGCTCATTGAAAGTAATTTGAAGTATTTAAAAAAGAAAATGTAATGTTTAAAAAGATAAATTTAAAATAACCTAGCCTAAACTAACCCGAGTTAAAAATATGCAAGGAAATTTGAGTAAGAATGAAGTCCCCTTAAAAGTTATTTTCAGGAGCACCTGGCTGGTTCAGTCTGTAGCTGGAGCTGGATCTTGGGCTCTTGAGTTCAAACCCCATGCTGGGCACAGAGATTACTTTTTTTAAAAAGTTATCAGGGACACCTAGGTGCACAGCAGTTGAACATCTGCTTTCGCCCAGGGCGTGATCCTGGGATCCTGGGGTCCTGGGATCGAGTCCTGCATCAGGTTCCCCACAGGGAGCCTGCTTCTCCCTCTGCTCTCTGCCTCTCTCTCTGTGTCTCTCATGAATAAATAAATAAAATCTTTAAAAAAAGTTATCAGAGGTCCCTATTTTTTTTAAGTAAGCTTTAGGGGTGCCTGGATGGCTCGGTTGGTTATGTGTCTGTCTTTGATTCAGGTCATGATCCCAGGGGCCTCAGATGGAGCTCAAGTAGGGCTTCCTGCTCAGCTGGGGCGTCTGCTTCCCCTGTGCCTCACCCTCCATTCATGCTCACTCTCTTTCTTTCTCTCTCTCTCTCTCTTTCTCTCTCAAATACATAAATAAAATCTTAAAAAAAAAATAAAGTAAGCTTTAGCCCCAGTGTGGGACTTGAACTCATAACACCAACATCCAGAGTTGTATGCTCTACCAACTGAGCCAATCAGGTGCCACCCACCCCCAGGTTTTTAAATAGAAAAATATGATTCATAAATGAAATAAATGTATGAGGAAATCAGGTTTTTGGATTTATAAGTTTAATAGCTAGAAAAATTTTAAACCAAAGTAACTACAAGTAGTGTTTTTTCTTTGCATGAAAGCTACCCTCAAGCATGCGGATAGGTAAAGTTTAAGTTAAAATGTGACAGATCAATGCCCAGAACATGAATCCAGTCATGAAAAGCAAAGGAAAACAAAACCGTATGTTTCTATTTGTCCATGATAATGGACATCAATGATGGAAGAGATCTAAGGAGATGAACTCAAATTGTTATCAGTGATTCCTTCTAGGAAAGGGAGTGAGAACTGGAAAAGAATGGAGGTCCTCATTATAACTGTGTTTTGTTCTGTAATATTTTATTTTTCTAAAACAATAAACAGGGGTTCCTGGATGGCCCAGTCACTTAAGCATCCGACTCTTAATTTTGGCTCAGGTCATGAACTCAGTGTTGCCAGATCGAGCCTTGCATTGGGCTCCGTGCTCAGCAGGTAGTGTGCTCTCCTTCTCCCTCTCCCTTTGCACCTCCATGTGTGTGCTCTCTCTCTCAATTTTTTGAATTAAATAGGGATTTTTCTTTCTTTGTGGTTTTTGTTTTGTTTTGTTTTTTACTTATTTGAGAGAGAGAGAGGAGAGAGAGAGGAGAGAGAGAGAGAGAGAGAGAGAGAGAGAGAGAGAGAAGGAGCACACAAGAGCCCTGTTGGCAGGGAGAGGGAGAAGCAGACTCCCCGCTGAGCAGTAAGCCTGACTCTGGGCTGGATCCCAGCATCCTGAGATCATGACCTAAACCAGAGACAGACGTTTAACTGACTGAGCCACCCAGGTGCCCCTGAAAATCTTTTTTCAAAAAGAATAAAATAAATATACCCTTGTATTATTTTAAAACAACAAAAAAATCAATTTTGAGTAAATCGAGTTAGATAGTAACTGAATCAGAAGTGCAATTGTAGAAAATGTCCAGCAGGAGGAGCCCTAGTACAAACTTGTAGGCTGCTTAAGATTATCTTATTTTTATTAAAAATTTCTTGGGGACACCTGGTTGACTCAGTTCATTGGGCATCTGCCTTCGGCTCAGGTCATGATCCTGGGGTCCTGGGATGGAGTTCCAGAACAGGGAGCCTGCTTCTCCCTCTGCCTATGCCTCTCAGGAATAAATAAAATCTTAATTTTTAAGATGACACACAATATTACATTAGTTACAGACATATTATATAGTCATTCAACAGGTTAATACATTATGCTGTGCTCACACAAGTGTAGCTGCCACCTGTTACCAGGTAAGTTTATTACACTATCATTGACTATATTCCCTATGCTGAGCTTTTTTTTCTCGTGACTTATTTGTGGCATAACTGGAAGCCTGTATCTTCCACCATTTTGCCCATCCTCCCATCCTCCTCCCATCTGGTAACCATCAGTTGGTTCTCTATGTTCACAGGTTTGACTCCGCTTTTTGTTTTTTTTTTTTATTCATTTGACTTTTTCTTTTAGATTTCACATAGGAGTGAATCATATGGTATTTGTCTTTCTTTGTCTGACTTACCTCATTTACCATAATACCCTCTAGGTCCATTTATGTTGTTGCAGATTATAAGATCTCACCTTTTTTATGGCTGTGTAATATTCCTCTGTGTGTGTGTGTGTGTGTGTGTGTGTGTGTGTGTACACACCATGTCCTCCTTATTCATTTGTCTATGGATGGACACTTAGGTTGCTTCCATATTTGGCTTTTGTAAATAATGCTGCAATAAACATGAACAGAAATGGGTGATCAGCCCTCGATTGGAGGGATAAATTGCCAAGCCAACATTAGATTGTTTCATGATTTTAAAAAATGTATCTTTTGATTGTCTTTTAAAAATTCAGTAATTTCCATTTTAAAACATCCAGTCAGTTATCAGACTCTGTTTGCTATGACCAGAGTCCATTTTTGGCCAGGTCCTCTCTTGGTGTCTTTATGTCAAGATAGGTTTTTCCTTGTCGGTTAAACTCCAATGATGCAATGTTCATCAATAGGGAAGTTGGTAGCTTTATGGTATATTCATACAGTAAGAATTCACCCATGAGGAAGAATGAAGTAATTAATATGTACAATATGGATGTATATCCAAAATATGATGTCAGGTGAAACAGGTTGCAGATTCCATTTATGCTTAAATAAAAAGATATGTGAAAGTGTGTGTAGGTGCTTGCACAATGTATGCATAGATGTCACATTCCTTGGAAGACAACTCAAATTGTCAACAGTGATTCTCTGTGGAAAGTAAGAATGGGGAGTCTAAGGCACTTTTACTTTTCATTTTATGCTTTCTGTACTATTTCATCTTTTCTGCAGTGTGCGTGTATGTATATTTTTGACAGTAGGTGCCACACACCAATACTGAAATTTTCTTTATTTCCTTTTTGATTTGTAGGGCAGCAGCATCTATTCAAAGAGAAGTCCCACCCCTCTGGTCAGAATATGGTGGCAGCCTTATCACTCCTTTCTTAGTGGCTCTGGCTTCAGCTATTCAAATGTAACCAGAAATTCAGCTATGCTGTCCTAATATCCCCCAGCCCTGAACCCTACCCTTTGCACATTCATCCTTCTTGTTCTGTGCATACCAAGTGATTCCACTGTCTGATGGAAATTCCTACTGGAAAAATAATATCCTGAGAGGGGTTTTCAATGATACACATGCTCGAAATTTCAGAGACAAGAAATTCATCTAGTCCTATTTAATAGGTTAAAATTGCTGGATTAGAATTAAAGCAAATTATTAGTTTCTTATTTCATAATAGTACAAAGCATTGAGACCCAGATTATTGCTGTATAAAAAATATTTTTAGGAAATTCTAATAGAACTAAATTTTGTATTTTTTCTGTATTTTCCTTTATCCTCAGCAGGACACACTGCATGCTTATTGATAGCTATATAAATGTGTATATGCATATATTTGGCATGCAAAGATTTATATATAAAGATGTTCATTTAGGAGCACCTGGGTGGCTTGATCAATTAAGTGTCTGACTTTGGCTCAGGTTGTGACCTCAGGGTCCTAGGATCGAGTCCTGTGTCGGGTTCCCTGCTCAGCAAGGATCTGCTTCTCGTTCTCCCTTTCCGTCTGCCCCTCCCCCTGCTCTCTCTGTCAAATAAATAAATAATTCAATTTTAAAAAATGGTTCATTTAATGATTATTTATAATAGAGTGGGGGCTGGGGAGAAACTCACAATGTCTGATAACAGACAACTGTCTTCATATGGTTTGGTATATCCGTAGCATGGAATATCATCCAACTGGTAAAAGTCATGTTTACTAACCCAAATATCCTTCAGTTGGTAAATGGATGAGCTAACTGTGATACATCTATACAGTACTCAGCAATACTCTCTATATATTTAGCAATAGAAAGTAAACAGCTATTGGTATATGCAGCAACATGAGTAACACTCAGATGCACTGTGCAAATAAAAGAAGCCAGACCAATAGGCTACGTATTGTATTATTCAACTTATATGACATTTTGGAAGAGGCAAAACTGTAGGAATGGAGAATAGATCAGTGGTTGCCGGGGATTAGGACTAGGGGGAATAATAACTACAACGGGACAGTGTGAGGGAATTCTGGGGCAATAAGAAATTGACCTGTATCTTTAATGTGGTGGTAACCTGAATTTATGTATTTGCCAACACTCAGAACTGTACATCAAAAAGAATAAATTTCTCTGTATGTAACTGAAATGTTTTCAAAGAACATTTAATCACATAGGAAAATGTCAACAATAAATAATGCAAGAAATAAGATATAAGACCTAAAATATAATACAAATGTTACATTCTATTAGGTAGGTGTGTTTGTATGACACACATATTGTAAATGGATGAAAGGAAAAGCAATAGGGCAGCCGAGGTGGCTCAGTGGTTTAGCGCCGTCTTCAGCCCAGGGCACGCCCTGGAGACCCGGGATCTGTCCTACATCGGCTCCTTGCGTGGAGCCTGCTTCTCCCTCTGCTTGTGTCTCTGCCTCTCTCTCTGTGTGTGTGTCTCTCATGAATAAATAAATAAATTCTTAAAAAAAAAAAAAGCAAGAAAGGAAAAGCAATAAACCAAAGATAGAGCAATTATCTCTGGGTAGTGATCTTATCAATGATTCCTACTTTTGACTTTTGGCTTTTTGTATTTTCCAGATGTTCTCTAATGAGCATGCATTACATTTATAATCAGAAAAAGAGAAATATGCACACACATACACACATGCACATATCATTATATGTGTGATCATTTAAACTGACACAAAACATTTCCAGAAGACAAAAACCAGCCCAAAGCTTGTTACAGAGGGATCCCTGGGTGGCTCAGTGGTTTAGCGCCTGCCTTCGGCCCAGAGCATGATCCTGGAGTTCCGGGATCGAGTCCCACATCGGGCTCCCTGCACGGAGCCTGCTTCTCCCTCTGTCTGGGTCTCTGCTTCTCTCTCTCTCTCTCTCTGTATCTCTCATGAATAAATAAATAAAATCTTAAAAAAAACCAAAAAAACATTGTCACAGACACCTCTCTGTTCTCATTTGTTTCCTTATGTAAAGCAAGTGAGGGAAGATATGAAAACTCACTGCTTCTGATGCCCGAGCAGCCAGAAACTGGCAGAGGGTGGGAGCTTTTTCACCTCCTGGAGAGCCTGTAAATCTCCCTAGCGGCAGAGAGATTGCCCAAGGGTAGCAGAGCCATTCCTCAAATATGCAGTCCCGAGTCCAGGGCTCTCTCCTATTCTAACGGACCTTGTCTCTCCGTCAGGCCCTCCTGACAGTACCAAATATTTGCTCTAAAGTTGGAAAACTGCACAGCTTGATGATCGCTGTGTATAACATACACACGCATAACATAACCCCATGAATATCTAGAGTATCTCAGACACTGCCCTAGGCAGGCCTCAGTCTCTCTCATTGGGAATGACACCAGGACCTCTTGACTAGTTCCTTGTGCCTTCCATCTCTTTCTCCCCTGGTTCCTCCTCTCCCACTGTTACCCCACCCTTGTGGCATCCATAGGCTCATTGGCTGCACCCTGATGCTCTGGTAGGAAAGACCAGAGAACCTCCTTGACCACTATCATCAGCCACCTTCATTATCATCACCATCACCATCACTATCACGACTACAGATAGTATTTATCGAGTTCCTATCATCAACTGGGCAGTGTTACAAATGTTTGATAAATGATTTAATCATCCATAGAATTATCACTATCTCTATCACTATCCTCATTTTGTAGACAAGGAAACAGGCCTGACAAAGTTAAATCACTTCCTCAAGGTCACAAAGCTAGTAAGTGGAAGGGAGTTTTTGCAACCAGAGTTGGAGTGCTTTACCAATCTGCTGTCCTAAATAAGATCCCACAAATGTTAAGAATCCCTGAATGTGTTCCAGAACCATCTAAACTGGCTCCTTCCTCTATCAGTGTTCTCAATCTTTGTGAGATTTCCAACCCTGCTATCCATATACCATCTTTGCTTTTGCTTCTCTCTTGCACTTTGACACAAGACAGTCTCTCTTGTCCCCATACTGGACTTCCCTTCTGTCTATCTTGCATCTCTCCTCCTTGTCTCAGCATGTTTAAGGACACCTGTCAGGGTAACATCCTGCTTTCCATCTCACTTCCAAGGGCTGACATTGTTATACCCCCTACTCAAACCACCTGAGCACTGCAGGCAGAAATTAGACTTACATTTACATGGCAATTAGGGGTGCCTGGGTGGCTCAGTTGGCTAAGCATCTGCCTTCAGCTCAGATCATGATCTCAGGGCCCTGGGATTAAACCATGAGCCAAAGGCAGACGCTCAACTACTGAGTCACTCAGGCATCCCCCTATGGAGTTTTCGAGAACCCTGGTATTTTAATGGCTGAATTTTGGGACGTTTTCTCTTTTTACATAAGCCTTAACTACTTGTAGCTGTTGGCATGCAATATCAGTCCATGGATGTCTTACTTTAGCTTCAAAGGATATAACTGACCAAAGTTTATATGAGAAAGAAAGAAAGAGAGGAAGAAAGGAAAGAAGGAAGAAAGTGGGAGGAGGGAGGAAGGAAGGAAAGAAAGGAGAAAGAAAACCTTTGTAATTTCAAAATCCTGCCTTAGTTCACCCGCCATGACAAATCATATCCCATGACAAGCAGGAGGGCATTGTTATGAGGACAGGCAGGATGACCAAGCTTGCCAAAGCAACTCTTTTTCTCAGTTTAGCCTTGGAGTTTAATCATTCGTTCTTCATTATGTAGGTTGCAGCATGATGCCCCCCCAAATGAACTCTAATAGGTTTCTAGAAGGATCCAGACCTTACTAGATATTGTGTTATAAAGAATATCATTTGAGGGATGCTTGGGTGACTCAGTGGTTGAGCATCTACCTTTGGGTCAGGTTGTGATCCTGGGGTCCTGGAATCGAGTTCTGCATCAGGCTCTCTGCAGGGAGCCTGCTTCTCCCTCTGCCTATGTCTCTGCCCCTCTCTGTATCTCTCATGAATAAATAAAATCTTAAAAAAAAAGAACATAATTTAAGTTCCCTTCTCTTCCGGTTGTGTCTAGCAACACTAGATTTGACAAGTGTTCACACAACACTATATTACTGGCTTCAGAGGAAGGAGGAAGCAGAACCAGCCTCAAAGGCATGTGATCTGTGCAGGTGCACAAGAACTCATGCTCAGAAGGGTCCAGCTTGGTCTCATGCTCTTCTGTCTCTGTCCTTAAATTCTAAATTTTTCAGAAGATTTTATTTATTGATTGATTTGAGAGAGAGAGAGAAAGAGACAGAGAGAGACAGAGATAGCGAGAGAGAGCACAAGCACAGAGGAGAGGGAGAAGCAGACTCTCCACTAAGCAGGGAGCCTGACTCTGGGCTGGATCCCAGGACCCTGAGATCATGACCTGAGTCAAAGGCAGGCACTTAACTAACCGAGCCACCCAGGTGCCCCTTAATTCTAAATTTTTAAAAAAAATGTATTTATTCATGAGAGACAGAGAGAGTGAGAGAGAGAGAGACATAGGCAGAGGGAGAAGCAGGCTCCCTGCAGGAAGCAGGCTCCCTGCAGGAAGTCCCTGGGACTTTATCCCAGGACCTCAGGATCACAACCTGAGCCCAAGGCCGATACTCAACTGCTGAGTCACCCAGGCATCCCTAAATTCTAAATTTCTGAACAAGGAGACCAGCAATTGTATTTTTCACTAGGTCCTGCAAATTGTGTAGCTGGTCCTGAGTGCCAGACAAGGCATTTTATTTAGTCTTAGGTGGCTCTGTTTCATAGATAAGAAACAGAACAATGGAGGCACTAGCTGTGCCCAATCCTAGAAAAGGACTCCTCCAGGGTTGACTATAGGTCTCCAGCACAACAGGTGAAAACACCCCTGATGGCTCCACTGGACCACATTTCATATGCTTGGGGGCTTTCTTACCTTCTAAGTCCACTTTCCCAAGAAAGAAGATAACAGCTTGCTTTCCCAGTAGCCCTTGAAGCCGGAACACAGACACATGACATAAAGCTCACTGGTCAGGTGTACACCTATGAGGCTTCCCTTCAGGGGAGAGGTAAGAAGGAGATGTGGCCAAGGAGTCAGACTGTCCAGGGGGAAGGGTAGTGGCAGTGGGGTCTTAGTGCTGCCATGGCTGCTGCAACCATGCCTAGGGGTAGGCTCAGGATCTCTGCTGGGCAGTCATAGTTAATTTGGCCTTGGGGTTTCATAGTCTGGAAGTTTCTTTCCGTGACTCTCCTGGAGATTCTATGCTTGCTTTCTGCTTAAACTGGCTGGAGTGGATTCTCTTCCACATCTGGACTGATCAACCTTCAATTCTAGTTGAAATTCTCCCCAGCCAAAGGCCAAGGGAAGAGGTGACTTGGCTCAGCCATGTGTCCATGTTTTGATAGTTTATCTGGCTTTGCATTGGTGAAGAGAGCATCCCCCACGCAGAAGGGCTGCTTCTGCCTGTGTGTGCAGGGCCGCATGGCCGCTTGCCTGGGCTTGTCCCACTGGTTGTGAGGCCCCTCGCTGTGCACGTTCTTTCTAACCTCCGTACCTACAGCAGTGCAGTGCAGAGCATCAGGCGCTGCACGGCCCGCAGATAGTGCTTTGAGTCACCACCTCCACTTTTTGTGTCTACCATTTACCCCCTGTAAATGATGGTGTCTCATCATCTGGATCTCAGCT